ACCTGCTGAGTAAAATGAAGGATAGCCGTGAAAAATATTATGAAAATGAAAATCGCATTTACGTTGGAATAGTATTGTTTCGAAAGACCGTTGGTGCATATGAAACCAGCAATTAACTACATCGGAACATTTGACATAAAGTTATAGGAAGATGCATCTACAATTAATACTTGTGATCGTACTAGCGGTCATTTTCTAGCGTATTTGTCTTTCGCTTTCAAAGCAAACAATATCCTCACCTTATAGATGGTGGTGAGCATATTGCTTGCACCACTAATTTAACAAACAACTTGTCTTAGTTTTATTTCTGGGAAAACGACAGTTTTCAACCAGTTTCCACTAATTGAATTCACTAATTTCCCATCAAAGATTCCCGGGCTCACGACTACGCAGAACGAACAGTTTTGCCAGCCAAGCCAGTTTGATTGCACAGAATGAGCCATTTTCGACACTTTTATAAGTGATTGTTATTCTTGACAAGGTTCCAAAAGGACTTACCACAGGTGTCACTTACCCTTTTTAGGTGAAACTTGAAACGGTAAAATTACAGTGTGAAATTAATTGCTGGCTTAAAGGTACATACACATCAAGTGGGTACCAGTTAGAGGTATGATAAACGGTAATTTTTCTGTAACGGGTTACAACGTTCCAGTTTCACCTTGTGCAAACATAATTCTTAACATTGGGAAACAAACAATAAAATATTCTCAAATCAAAAACAAAACATAGGTCAGAAGTAACTACTTAAAGAACAAAAAAACTGATAATAATAAAACTAGAGTGATTAAATAAAATATACGGTTTATATGCGAAATTGTTTAAAAATTTCATTTTCTTTCAAAAATGGATTAACATTTGAGAATAAATTTTTTTGCAGATGCTTTTTACTGATTCTAGGTCTTCGCGCGCTTATGATAGCACCCGCTTTAGAAAATAATCTATAGCATTTTATTTCACAGTAACATTAAATAATCCACAATAACAACAAACTGAAATGCGTGTTTGGCAAACCTGGACGAAGTATTACTCGAGTTAATTTTGGTACCACCAAAAAATAATGTAAAAAAACTATGTCAAGCTTAAGTTTATTACTATTCAAATAACTTTCATTTCATCTCTGACTCAATTTATATGTAAAAATGGCCAGCTTGCTTAAATGCAGGTGCACGTTCTGTATTAGTTGTGCAATTACGGTTTCAGGTTACACGTTTGAAACACTGTTATTTTGGCGGTTACGTTAAATACCGACCATCCCTAGTACCAGTGATGCGTCCTGCCGTCTGGTTCACCGAAGGCAATAAAAATGTATGTTATCATACGAAACAACACGGTTTATGTCCATACTATTCGGACCAACGGAGGATGTTTTGTACACGCGATACGCTATACACGTGTTTATTGTGCTCCGTATTATTGTGTCAAATTTCGAAAGTTTTTTTTAACACTTTTAAGTTATAAATTGGTATGGAGGAGAAAGTTTGGCCGAGGGCTGACAACAACCAGGAGTTTTTCGGCTGGTTCAAAGAGTCAATTAACTAGGAACGAATTGGAAGATATCATTGGATTTCGGACAGTGAACACTGGTGTTGATAAGGACAGCCGGTGTACGGACCTCAGTTCTGAAACGGAAAGATTGGAAGACCGCAACAATATTTAAACCTAGAACTTCAGTAAGCCAGACACCATCTTAAAGAAAGCAGGACTCAGTCAGAGTAAAACTCAGACAAAATAAATGTACCTACTGGTACCCCGGAATCAGAAGTCAAACCGAAAAGACAGTGCGAAAGAAATATATGGCTTATGTCCACCAATTTACATAACTTTTAACAAAACCAAACTAAAAATAAGACTTCAAAAAAAGGGGATACAGTATTGTTGGAGGTATTTTTCACTCTTGAAAAAATTGCGGCTATAGCAAGGGATAATGACATGCCAAAAGGTAACCAGAATTATTTAAATAGGGTTAGTTATAATATACATAAATCCCTGACTCTATTAATTCACAACATTGGAATTATAGGAAAAGGAAATCAAGCCCTTAGGTACCAACTACAAGACATAAGTAATTTCAACAAGGTTCTTAATACCAAAACGCAAATTAATATAAAGTCGAACACAGAAGATAAATAAAGAAATACAAACACTATGCCAGTGTTACTTGTTTAAGCATAAATAGTGAATCACAAAGTAATACAGAAGAGACAGAAGGTACATGGACAACTCCAAAAGTACAAAAAAACTCGAAACCTGCTAACAATTGACAGCACCGATCCTACCGCAACCATGAATCAGCTGAAACAAAATATCTCTTCAAGGGATTTAGGTTGTAGTTTTAGGAACGTTAGATACTTAAAAAGCGGTGCTGTCATACTAGAAAGTTATAATAGAGACCAACAAGAAAAATTGAAACTCACCCCTAAAGAAAAAAATATATACAAATCAAAGAGACATAAAATAATGATCCAATGTTTATGATGACTGGTATAAGAAAAGGGTTGTCTGATGTAGAATTTTTAGAAGATATTGTTTATCTAAATGAAGAAATAGAAACGGAGTTGGGATATACAATAGGCGATAAAATATAAATAATCGCAAAAATGACGTGTCGGAATCCAAGTACAGAAAATTGGATCCTTCAGGCGCCACCAGACGTCGCTCAATGGTTCCTTAAGGAGCAACAAATTCATGTGGATCTGATGAAAGTCTATGTTCAGGAGCATTTTAATCTGGTTTTTTTTTATTGTTCTGGATTTGGACATGCTGCTAAACATTGTAGAGAAAAACAGTACTGCCACAAATGTGGTGAAGCACATCACAGTAAAGACTGCATCAGCGAGGCCCTTCTGTGTCCAAATTTTACCAGATTGAGACTGAAGCCGGAAGCAAGCCAACATTCAGCAAGAGATGCGCAATGTCCTGTGTACCAAAGAAGATTAGGACAATATAAGAGCAGTATAAATTACGCTCAGGATCAGTCAGATACTTTTAGCAAAACCAGTAATAGATGAGAACAATGCTTACACATAAAGCATTGTCCACCAAAATGTACAGTCCATGGGGAACGCAGTTGACCGAATCAATGAGATGTTAAATGCATACAAAACATGTGAAATTTTGTGCATTACAGAACACTGGAAGTCTGAAGATCAACTACGAAGTCTACGGTTGAATAATTTCAACTTAACATCGACGTTTTGCAGAGAACAGGGAAAACATGGCGGATCAGCAGTTTATTGTTAAAACAGTGTTAAGTGTAAACTCCGACACAAGCTAAATAATCTATCAATAAGTGGCACGTTTAAATATGCGGTTGTGGAGTGCGTCTTAGGAAAAACGCAAATAACCGTTGTATCTTTATATAACCCTCCTGCGGGAGATATGAAGGAATTTATGACTCGACTTGAGCAATTATTGTTATGTATACTTAGGGAAAATAGCTTTTTAGTTGTGTCAGGAGATTTTAATATTGAAATGTTAATAGACAATGAAAGGAAGGCCAATTTGCTGTCCCTAATGAGCTCGTTTAAACTTGTTCCTACCATAAATTAAAATACCAGAGTCACAAATATCTCTTGCCAATTGCATTGATAAGTTATTTACAATCTCAGAGTTTCTATGTGTGCATGACTTTGGGAGCTTTGTTTCAGATCATACTGCACAGGATGTCGCTTTTAAAGTTAAGCTCCCAGAAGAATATCATTTAAAGTACAGGCGCATGTTTTCGGACGAGGACAAGGCTAACTTCCTGTGTAGCCTAAATGATCAAAACTAGCTTGATGTATACAGGGTGATTCAAAATTGGCGTAATTCCTTTTAAGGTGTAATAGGGGCTCACTTGGAAGGTACGAGAATATTGAAATTTTATTTTCGATAATTTCTAGAAGATATTAACACTTGAATATCGAATTTCAACTTTGTTATTAAGCATGATTTTGAAAGTGTTCCATGTTTAATTTGAAGCATATTGGAATCCTGAAGCATTCAATATGAAACGTTACGATCTTTGCTTCAAATGACGAAAATTTTTGTTGTTTTTTTGTGAAAAAATTTGTCAAACTGTGACTCACTTTGAATTTCCTTTCACCAATTTGCGGATATGCGATTAGTTCAGGGGAAATGCTACAGTAACATAGCAGAAGCTGAAAGAACGCACGCCAACAAAGGGAGAAGAGAGTGGTTCCAGGAAGATAGTGGAAGGCAGTTGATGTTCGGATTCCAGACACAGAGGAAAAAGCATTGGACATAATTGCAGAAGAGTCTTTCAGGCGCACACCGAACATTGGACAACTGACACTTTGCCAGGCACCAAATAAATACCGGCTACATTCCTACCACGGATGTAATTAAACTAATGGATAACTGAACACCGGTATAAACAGATCAGCAGTTAATTAACCGAATAAGAGAAGCTGCCCGAGAAGAGTACATGATAAGATACACCGGTACTTGTTTGGAGTTACGGACTCAAATGTATGTTTTTGTAATTTGTAAACAAATTAATAATTCGAGGTTATGAGTTTTGAAATATGTTCTGTCATTCAACGATTTCCGTTGAATTGACCGTTGATCCGTATCTATCTTATTGTCACTCTCTCTATTTATCCATGGTTACCGGAGTTTTAAATAATTACGAAGCAACAGGTATTTACGTAATGTTAATTAGGCAGATTACCTTGAWAAACATTGTTGCCGTTTTTCTGATATAGTTTTTTGCCAATTTCTCAATTTTTAATAACAATTCATTGTTTTTAYTATTTTTTCTGTACTTCTTAAACACCGCCAGGCAACCCCTCCAGAGGAATGACGCCAATTTTGAATCACCCTGTATTGTTAACTTGATGCGAGGGGCCGATAAGGCAGAAAATTACCTTACTAACAACCATTAAAATTGTTATCTTGCAACAATTTGAACCGACGATAGAAAATTCATAATTAGAAGTCTCAGTGTATGAAAGATTACAAAAGAATATGTGGCGGTGATCCAAGCATTGAAAAAATACTTACAATGGGGGAACATCCGTATTATTTAAAAAATTGTTCCAAAATGTTCCATCCGAATCGAAACCCGTGCAAATGCTGACAACAGTGACAAAGGGCACCAACCACAAGACCCATATCACTGCTGACACCTAAAAAATAAATAAAATTTATTGTGGGGTGAGAACAATTAACACCACGACGCAAAAGACAGAAGTGAAGAAATCACTTGTGTTGCAGTTGGGGAAACCCAATACAATTGTTTTTCTGTAAACACTAACCTGAAAACCAATATCTGAATGCACGCAAGTTTAATTGTTTCTACAACTTTGAAGCGCGCTTATTCGGAAACCTCTAGACGGAAAGCAACAAAGCGATTATTCTAAAACTTCTGAACAAAAGGCAATAAAGTAGTAACTAATATAAAGAGAATTGAACGCCTTTTAAAACGATGTGCAAGTTGACCCCCCTTCCCATTTAATATTCTAAGGGTGACATCTACTTAAAATCTTCATTATCTACCTAAGAGGTTGAAACAAGAAGGGTAAAAATATTAATTTAAAGTGTCCCAATTACAAATAAAATTGAGTGGTCTTTCCGATTTTTCATATTGTCAACTGTAAGCAAGATATTAAGGGTGGGATGTTCTCAAATTGGCACCCGGTATATTATATACAGGGTGTCCCAAAAGTAATGGCACAAAACAAAATGGCGAATTCCTGGTGAAAATATGATGATTTAATACTTTGAACGGAGCTGCATATTTTAACCAAATTTCTTATTCAGGGGTTTTTGAGCATAAGAAATCCAAATCTGCCATCAGATTTTGATAAACTTGTAGAAAAAAGCACTTACGGCGATATTTGGGCAAAAAAATTGACTTAACTTTTTGGTCGCCCTGTATTTTGACTTATAAAATGGTTGCGTCTAATTGCGTATTAATTTTGCAGAAAAAAGGTATTCTTAGTCGATGTCCCAACGAGCTTCTGTCCGAGATATTTGCGATTAAACCGCAAAATGCAGTATTTACAAAAAATAAACCACAATAAATATCTAAGAGAAAAAATATTTACTAAACATCATTCTTTAACAGTAGGATCTTTTTATATTAACCACTAACAATAAAACATCTAGTTTCCACAGCAATTGCTCAAAAGGTCCCCCGTTAACTTCAATACATTTTGAAATGCGTTTATTGAGGAATCGTCTAATTTTGAAAAATTTATTTTCATTTCGAAATGATTCTGCGGCATTCACAATTTTATTTATCAACTTTAGCAACATTTAACAACATAATTTTAGATAACCCCAAACACAAAAATCTATTGGGTTATAGTCAGGACTTCGCGCGGCCAAGCCCAAGAACTTTCACGACCTATCCATTGATTTCTAAATTGTTGGTTTAGGTAATTAGTAACTGCTCTAGTAAAATGGGGTGGTGCGCCATCATGCATAAGAATAATATAATGCCGCAAATTCAGCGGTAAATCATCGAAATAATCAGATAGTCGAGTTTGAAGACATTCTACATAAGAATTGCCATTCAAAGTTGGTGGTATACATGCGGCCCGAGAAAATGGTCATTAGTAATTTTAAACTCATGTTAAAATGCCTTTCGGTTACTGAATAAGGGTTTACAACATCCCATAAATGTTTGTTTATAAAATTAAAAACACCTCTTCTTGTAAACTTAGCTTCATCTGTAAACGAAATTTTGTTCAAAAACATCGAATCGACATTGCTTTGGCGACGGATGAAATTATCACATTGCACTCTTGCTGGTAGATCGTCATCGAATTAATTCTGCACCGGCGTAAAATGGTAAGGATGGAGATTTTCTTGCTGAAAAATCCAATGAACTGAAGACTTGCTTACCCCAGTAGCACTTTTCAATCGCCTTGTCCTGTTGAATCTCTTCCGCTTGTTCTGGAGTGAAAACTTTCGGACGTCCCAAGATATTAACTTTGGCCCTAAAGCAACCAGTTTCCCCTAATCGACTGTAGATGTCTCCGAATTACTTTAAATTCGGTTGCCTCCTATTGGAATACAATTGTAAGTAATGCCGCTTTGCACTGCGCCCACTAAAATTTCCAAGTTAAAAAAAAAATGCCTTGGCATATTAGCTAAGTGAAATCAAAACTTAAGTATGTAGTTAAGGCGCTTGTGTCACTTTGACAGACACCAAATAAATACATGTCGCTGCCTCACACTAATGGAGATGTTTTGTCAAATTTTCTCACAATTCTGCATTTTGCAGTTTAATAGCAAATATCTCGGATACAGGTTTATTGGGACATCGACTGAGAAGTGCAAAATTAATAGGCGATTAGACGCAACCATTTTAGAAGTCAGCATACCGGATGACCAAATAGTTAAACCCATTTTTTTGCCCAGATATCGCCGCAAGTGGCTTTTTCTACGAGTTGATCAGTCTGATGGGACATTTGCCTTTCTTTGCTCAACAACCCCTGTATACCAAATTTCGTTAAAATATACAGCTCCGTTCAAAGTAGAAAAACAAAAAACTGAAATAAAAATGTAAGTTTAACGCCCTGTTTGTCGGCAACCGTCAACTTAGACGTGAACTAAGGTAAGTTGTGTTAGATCATCATATTTTCACCCAAGAAATTCGCCATTTTGTTTTGTGCCATTACTTTTGGGACACCCTGTATAAGCTGTGGTAATATGATGGAGATTGCACACCAAAACTTTGAGTTACGGCTTAGAATGTTTTCTTTACGTATTTGGACCAAACATCCATCACGAGCCCGTATTTATAGATGTTTAGTGGGAAAACGTTGGCAGATGATTTCAACTCTGTTATGCATCCCGACTGAATCTCAATTTAAGCTGAATATACTGCTTTTTTGTAACTGTTTATCTAAAAAGTTTGATTATAAAATTTGTGGCTCAGTTAAAAGTTGTGTCACGTCTCGGGTCATCATACGCACAAGTACGTAAATAACATTTAAGATTCAAACGAGTATTTCGACTTTTTTGCTGGGGTCCGAACGAGAGGTCAGAGGACTCGCGTAAACTCGAGATGGGTCAGATATCGGTTTTGAGTTTTGGGACTAAACATATTACCTACCATTAACGTGCATTGGAATAATTTACTGCTACAACTAAGTTATAAATTATAACTATGGGCTTAACTTCATGTTTTACAACACCAAGCGTTTGAAATCATCAGAGTAAGGTTGCAGCTGCTGACGAGTTATGTTTTCAGCTTCTTATAGCAATGCAAGTTGGTCCGAACTGAGTGACGGATTTAGCATTCCCAAATTTTTCTGATTTTGTTTCGATGCCTACATAGACGTATGGAATGGGCTTGTCCCCCTCCCCAGCTACAACCCAACCGTGATCAGCAAGCATCAATCTATATTTGGCGTGCATTAGAACGGCTAACTGCTTCTGCCCTGGTTTTATGCCTATAGGTATCCGCGCCTTATCATCCTGAGAAACAAATGTTAATCGCTGAGGTCCGAACATAGAAGCCAACCATTCTAAGGCGCGTATTGGTGTTGTGCAAAATTGGCCATGGGAGTGAGATTTACGCTTATCGTCTTGAGCTCTACATAGTTTCACGGGCACCGTCGTGACATGCGTTCTACCTTCAATTGTAACCGACATTTTGGGTAAAAACCTTAAATATAGATAAGTTCTATATTGTTGAGGCGGATTCATTTTTTACAAACTTCTTTTTGGGTATTTCGCCTCAAAAATTTTTGTCTT